TACATGAAAGGGGTTTTCCGAAGAAAATCATGTATTAAATTGGCTCTTTTACGTATCGGTGTCCCAAATATGTTTGTTAGGCAACAGGGCACTAAGTTTGGCTTATATGTAACAGTAACCAACGAGTCATAATTTACAGTTACTGCTTATACGTAAACATCAATAAGGTCATTGTATATCATATCGAACAATCTTTTGCTGCTATTAGGTTTTTATGACTAAATAATGCTATTGTGAATATATCAACTTTTATGCTATGGGCATGATTATTAATATTATTGATATAAAATATAATCAATATATTAGAGACATATTGATTTAAACAATTAGTGAATTTGTTTGGACTATATATGCGCATATGAAGATTTTTTTTTTCATTCTTTTTTTATTTAAATAAAGCATTACCAAATATTAAACATTAAACATTACACAATTATTAATATAAAAATATTCTGTAAAACTTCTGAATTAATATTTATGCTTATTGAATTTTAGATCTTTGATGATAATTAGATTTCTACAGAAATTCATGGCAACTTGAAAGCAGTGAATGCTCTAATAAATGTTATTCAACTCCATTATTTAATGACCGCTTAACACGGTTGTGTTATTAATTTACTAACGGCTTTATCTACCTAGTTTTTAATTTTGAAAAGTAAAAAGTTTATAGCATACCCTTTCTTGCAGAATGAATAATAAAAAAATGTCAACATAAGTATGATTTAATTACTGATGTGATAGATAAGATATTAAATCAACTTGGAGTTGAATATTTTTCTTTAATTACTGGTCCATTTACGTTAATTTTGGTTTACTAAATCATACCAGCGATATTTTAACGTCATAGTTTCCATGCCTAAAACATAGCTATGATAATTCTCTAAACGAAATGTTATGTATGTTCTGTGTTGCAAAAACCCATCTTAATCCTAACTTTTAAACTTATTCAACTACCAATCCTAAATTTAATAATAAAATTACTGTAAAGATATACATAGTTTTGTGCACCACTGGTTTGTAGTTAAAATAAATACTACATTCTTATTATTAATATGATCAGTTTATTAAAATTTTACAATTATAATATATGAGCAAGTTACTTAAGCTAAAGTATTATAACTGTTAGCATGTTATAATTAGTGCCTGAAATTAATAAAAATTTTATCGGAAAAGTGATTAACTAGATTAAATTACAATTCCAAACCTAATTAAATTAAACCCCTGAAACTAGATCTTCTTTCAGGGGAACTTTGAAAATGTTTGTAGTAATTTTTTACTAAACATGTTGCTGTTGGGGGGTATTTTTTATAACTTATACCTTATCATTTTTCATTAATGAGGAAGTGGCATTCATACACATATATGCAATGGTTCAACTCTGATAAATATATGCATGCATTTGATTATCATGAATGATTATCATGAATTAAGCATTTTAATTAGAGAATGGCTTTATAGTACGTACGTACTTACGTACCTTATCAGTTATCATGATATCTTCGAATATATGAATCTAATATTGTTGTCTCATAGCACTATACATTTTATGGCTGTTTGTTATGCATATGGTTGTAGCTCGGTTACAAAGCATAGAAAATTACGTCCGATAGATCTTTATTATAACTGATAAAGCACAATTGTGATGTAATTAGCGACATAACAATCTGAATCTATGCTTATAGACATAATGTTAACAAGCTCTTACGTAACAGCATCTTGTCAATTACTGAATTAGTCTAAGTATGATTATTACAATAACACTTACAAAATTTTGTTAATTGGGATCAAATCGTATGCGTACATAGGTGGTCTAACCTATTTCTAGAAATAAAGATTTTTTAATTAAATTTAACATATCGATGCGTAAATATCAATAGTACCAATTTTATATGCATTATAATATTGCATTACTTAAACCCATTTATATACAAGTAATTTGTATAATTTAGATTTTAAATCGAGTTTAGATTGCTTAAAGTCAAAATACTAAGTAACGATCAAACAAAATCAATTTGTTATAAAGTTTATTAACTAATTAGAATTACTGTGTATGAGTGTCGCTAAAAGAAAACCCGACAATTTAAATATGACTTATATATAAATTGTCGGGTTTTCTTTTAGCGACACTCATATAATAAAATATGTCAAAAACACGAAGAATGGGAAAATTATATAAATAATCCTCATTTTTCAACACTTGGATTTCTATTTTTTTTTTACTAATGCTGCTGTGCTATGACTACGTTTATACAATCATTTCTGATTTGTTTTTAGCAATTGTCGATCTTCAACATCCTGTCCTTATCGTTATTTCTCTAAAGTAATGTCCTTCGGACAATTATAATTTCATTGTTGTTATTTTTAGTCAAGTTTGGGCTAAGGTTCTTTTGCAATAGCCATAGTAGATAAGCATAGTAGATAAGCAATGGTAATTATTTTAAGAATCAAAATTCGGCTAAAAGAAAAATTACAAATTAATTTGAATACTACGTATAAATATATATATATATATAGCTTTATTAAAACTTTTTCGCGTTTATTGTGTAAAACAATTGATTTAACTCTTGAACACATAATAAAGCCAAATTGATCGAATCTATGACAAAAAAAGATTTGACATATTTAACTTTAATTTAAGCTTTAGGTCTTCAATTTATTAATAGTTGATTTGAAAATTTAGAAAACACAAAGTGACCATAATAAGAATCATGTAAAATTCAAAACTAATAATAGTTTGACAGAGTTCATTGTGTAAACCTTGAATTTCACTCGGAAAATCCTAATTTTATGTGTGTTAAACATTAATAGTTATAAATACTCGGAAATTTTAAATAACTTTCTTTTTTTTCGGACACCTAATATATGACAAGCGTAATGCAATTAAAACCTGGTTTATATTTAAGTCTACTCAAAGTTGATTATTTGAAAAAAAAACTTTTTCGAAAAGAAATTTCGATTTATTTAGAAAATTTAATCCGGCAGAAAAAAAGGGTTGTAAATTTTTCAATGGGTCATAATCGTATATGCTACGTACCATTGATAACTAAAAAGAAATATTTCTTTTTAAAAAATAATTTAAATCGAGCTAATTAATAATACTGTAAATAAAAAATAAATATTGTACGTATTATATATGTACACATATTTTATTACAGTACCTGTATTAACTAAAAAAAGCCTAGTTTAAAAGTTATCACTTTTTTTTGTTTTTGTTTATTTGATTACAGTAATAAAAACAGTACTGTAATTTCCTGTTCCGAAAATTCTTATCTCTCAGATCGAGTGTAACACAGGTCTAAAATACTTTGTATTATTTTAAGTTTGCTATAGAAATTTCCTTTTTGATAAATGAAACGCCAATTATTTGTCACACTGCATAACAATGGGGGAGTTTCAGTGTTGTTGTTCCAATTCCACTTAACGTCAATAGTTTCAAAAAATATAAGTACTGTACGTACATAATACGTATAAGCTAACATTCTCCTGAACGTATATCTAAGAATCCAACCTCTCACCTCTCAGAAAAGAGGGTTGGGCTGTCATAAAATTAACCCGCTAAAGAAAAAACGTTGAAAAAGCCACAACCGAAAGAAAAAGCCACAAACGGAAGCACGAAAAAAGAAGAGATACGTATTAGGAACAATCAAAGAGAAGATTGACAATAAAGAAAATTGACAATACAATAAGAAGATTGTCAATTTAAAATAAATTATTATTAATTAGAAAAGATTGCCATTGAAATAATTATATCAAGAGGCTCATGAACTACTTCTACATCTATAACGGTAAACATATTGGGAACGAAGTTGATTGAAGCCATGCAGAATTCTACTTCTCAACTTACAAATTATTATTCCAAGTTCACCTTAGAAATCAAAATAAGTATTTTCATTAATACCAAGTACCCAAAAAATTTGTTATTGGCTAATAAAGCTTGGTACAAGGTCTCTAAGCAAAGTGATGTTAGAGCCAAGTGGATAATCGTTCATTACGGTAAGGCCCATGCTTTATTCCATACAATTCGACTTGGGCCAAAGTTTGTCAATGTAGATGTAATTAAGAAAGTTATCGAAATGGGTGGAATTTTATCTCGATACTTCATTCAAAGGTTTTTACTTTCCTTTGGCTCTTACGATCCGAAATTGATCGAAATGAAGATCGAGCATAATGTCGGAAATATAGATAGAGAGCAGATACGTAAGGTGCAACAAAAAAGTGCTGTTCCTTGGGGAAGCGATACTCCACTTGATGTATTCACTTATCTTTTGCTCGAAGCATCAATGAAATTAAATCCTTCTGATAAATCCGTTCCTTATACTGACTTGGCCGTTAAAGGAAACGATATGGAATCGTTTCATTTTCAAAGTGGTGGCCCATATGCCATTAATCAAGCTAAACAAAAACTTCAAGATAATTTAAAATCCATTGAGGAATTAATCTTAAATTGGAACTTTATCCCTTTTCCCCCAAGGCCAAAGAATAAACATTACGAAGGTAAAAATTTGGAGGAATATCCAGCGAAGGATGGTTATGAAAACTATAGACAGCTAAATATTATTGCTCGCGCAATATTGATCAATGAAGACCTAGTTAAAACTTGGAAAAAAATTGGTTATCATGAAATTGTGGATGACGTCAACGATCTGGTCATTCAAGGGAAATTATTATTATTATTCCCTCCAACCCCAGCAAAGGACTATAAAATGCCAGATGAAAATGAAATAACCAAAAATTTACAAAAATTACTGGATTTGGGGTTTAAACCAACAAATGCGGTTATTCTTGATATTTTACAACTTTTTGAAAACAGATTGGATGTTATTGGCAAAAGGATTATTAATTCTTTCATTTTAGTTCGTAAAAACGAAAATCTTTATGACTTTTACAAGATGCTTGTCGTAGAAGCCATTAAACCGGAAAGAATTGTGAAAAAGACTGAAGTTTTAAACTTTTTAGATGAAATCTTTCAAAATGAAAGTGGAAAAATTTTCAGTGGTGCGATGGAATTAATCAGAGAAAATAATGTTATTGATGGCATAAAAGATCATGTTAATAATACTAACCAATATGAAATTAACATTCAATTTGAAAATGACGATCATAATTCCGTTAAATTCAATGTTCCCTATAAACCCCTGTTGTATAATCTAATATTTTATAATTGGATTTTGATTAAATTCCCAGAAAATTCAAATATTGCACAATTGGCATTTAACAATATTTTAGAAACTAGAATAAGTCTTGAACTTAATCAAAATTCTTCAAAGTCATTTGAAATCAAATTTATAGAAACTAGTAATATTTTTAAGGTTTATTGTAATGTTAAGAATTTCTTTTTAATTTCCCATCTTGAACTCCTTAAGAAAGTTTCCCACGAAGATATTCTTGGTCCTTTATTTGAATTTTATTTACCTGATTTATTTGGTCTTCCAACCACTTTCAAAATACCTATGGAAGTAACAGATGATTCAAATATCTATTTTAAGCCAAAGAGAAAAAGGAAAAAACGGATTATGTTGAAGGAAGAAAAATTAGAATGGCTTACGGCAATTAAAAAAAATCATGATAATATTGTAAAGGAAGGTAATTCTGTGATAATGACAAATGAATTTAGAAATTGTATTGAAGATCTTTATTATAAATTGGAAGATGAAGGAATGTTTAAAACAGTAGAAATGTTGAGATTAGAAACTTTTAAAAACAATAACACGAAAAAATATAAAGCGGATAAGAATCAAAAGAAAAAAGATTTTTATGAAGATACCGCAACTGATGACAAGGAATTATGTATATATAACTTATATGATTGTGAAATATATGAATAAACCATTTTTTGCTATGATTTTAGTAAGCTCAAGCTAGCAAACGAAATCCAGGAATCTAGAAAGCAACTAAAGTCATTCTGAATATCTTGATTTCGTTTTCAGCTTGTTTATGGAATGTTTGTTTTTTTTTCATTATTTTATCATTTACTGCGCATATTTGAATCAATCTGTATATTTTTTCATTTTCATTATATTTAGAATTATTATCTATTTTATTCATGTACGAAGGTATAGTCAAAATGGTAAAAATAGAAATAAGACGCGCCTCAATTATGTGAAAATTAACCGTTGATCCGCGGATGTTGAGGGAGAACCTTTATAAATTATAATCTGACTTTAAAAAACATTGGCATTCTGGAAGCTTACATATTATAACATATTAGTTCCTTATATATATATATTTATTTACAAGTTCATGTATCATTTAATTATTATTAAAGTTTTATATTTAGTTATTTTTATCTTTCAGTAAATATATAATATTTGAAAATATATAATATTGGTCAATTATCTTAGCATGTCGACTTTATAATTTATACTAATCTTAATTCTAATGATAAAAGTAACAGTATTTTATATATCACAGAGACATAAATATGGTAAGTTCAATTGAATAAAATGTTGCTAGTTATGTTGAAAACGGCTGTAGCTGAAAATTTTTGGGATGTATTTTCTTTTTAACCTTTTTTGTAGTTAGATTAGGGTTTAGGGTTAGTTTTGATAGTAAAAGTATATGTGTGGATTTTGGTAGGTCTTATATTTTTAAACCAAGATCCCTAATTTTTAGCTTCAACCATTTCCAGCTTCAGCTACATAGTTGCATATGCTGTGTTAAGAAAAGCTGCATATTAGATTATTAGAGTTACAAAATATTGTGCAAAACACAACAGTTACATTTTGTGACATCATTTAATCAAGTTTGACCACTCAAACTTTTTTATAACACTATGCATCTTTTGCACAGCAAATATAACTTAAAATTTTATTGTTATTGCCATATAAATAAAACATAATTTAATAGTTAAAGTCGTAATTCTGCATAAACTTATTAACGTTATAATAACTAAAAGTGCAAATTTATTATTTCGAATTATTAAAATCTAATAATTGACTAGTGTATATAGCTTTAGGATGAATAGCTCGATGCCTGAAAATTATATGCTTAGAATTTAATTTTCTTTTTTCTTCTGCAATGTTAAATTGTATTGAAATTGTTGACGTACTATTATGATTGATTGTTGTCATCCAATTTCTTAAAATTTTATTTATTTCTGTAACTTTTGGGCGATTGTTAGGATCTTGATCCCAGCATCTTTTCATTAGTGTTATATATACTTCCGGGACGCCGTCAATTATGTCTGGTCGCAATCCATTACATATTCTAGTTAAAAGGTCAAGATCATGAGAAATTTTGCTAAAAGGGCGTAAACATGCAGACAATGTCCACATAATAATTCCAAAACTATATATATCTGAAGCCTGGGTGTATTCATTTCCATCTAATATTTCTGGTGCAACATAAGGCAAAACACCATAAATATCGGATGCAGTTCTGTTTGCTGGTCCGTGTAATCCAATGTCGGCAATTCTTGCGATAATAAACTCTGGATTATCTTCAAATAACAAATTGCCACCATGTAGATTACCATGATATAATTCATTCTCATGGATTCGTTCAAGACCATCTGCAACTCTTAAAAGAATTTCTATCATGTTTCTCCAGCGAAGAATTTCCAACTTTTCGTCAAGATATTGATATAAATTTCTTTCATAAAATTTCATAATAAACATATAACAACCAGTTGGGTCACGTGATATCCCAAAGTAATCTGCTAAAGGCCCGCCTCTAAGACATCGAATATGCTTCATAACCTAGCCAAAATATAGAACATTAAATTAATAATTAGTATGATCTATTGTGTTTTGGATAGATAAAACTCACATTATCTAGATAATATTGACTGATTTGTTGAGAATTTTCAATCCTTTTCAATACACATTTAGTTGGACCATCTCTAAACCAGTCATCCTCAATCCAATTCCGTCTAGGACCATCGACCCAATATCCAGAATAAATGGTACTAAAAGCACCTTGTGATAAATATTTAATTTCTTCAAAATTTTCAAACGGGATCCACTCGAGATAATCATTACTTCTGTTTGCTTCAAGCTGAGTTTGTTGTATTATTTGATCTATACTTATGTTACCACTAGTCCATCTTCTAAATTCTCGTTTGAAAGCTTGATTTTGGCATGTTGGACACCAATGAAAATCACTAAAGGATTTTCCACATTCATCACATTTACCATAATAATCTAGTTGAACTATGCTTTTAGCATATGTGATCGATGGATCTGGTGAGGACACCATTCCTATTCAAAGATAGTAAATTTTTTATAGGGAGAGTTTGAGTATTTACACTATATGATAAGGAATCCTATATCACATATCGAGCTGATCAATCCGTGAGAACAATCCGTGAGAAAGTCTTATAAACCATTTTATATAATTTTTTTTTTACGCCCAATAAATTAATCATGGAAGAATTATCATTATTTTTTTTTCTTCAACACAATAAAATGTGCCATAATTGAACAATTTGTGACACCATCTATCATTTTTTAAGAATACTAACCTCTACAAAACTTATCATTGCGCCAAATGAACCAATTGGATCAAGTGGATCGGACATAATAAATTAAATAAAGGAGCATTCTTGGTCATAAGAATTAATGCTGACCAATACTTAATATAATGTTGGTCAGCGTTCTAAACTCATATAATTAAGTAAGTAAGAGAAAAAATTGACACGTTTTACATTTGTTTTGATAAACAACTTAGATCTCATACTAATAATGTATTAGGGAAGGTGAAATTTGTGCAATAATAAATAATTACACATTTTACCACATTACTTTGAAAGAAAATATTTGATGTCACGTCATTTTCTTATTAAATAAGTAATTCAGAACTTTCATGTTGACATTCACCTTCGTTTTATTGCATGATAATATTTTTTTTAAACCATTCATGATATTTTTTAGATATAACATGGTCTATTTTTTTTTTTCTAGATCATGTATTTTAATTGGTATAATTAGTATAATTAGTATAATTAATATGATTAGTATAATCAGTACAAGTCAGCTGTTTCTTTAATTATTAGTTATTCGTATCTTCGCATCTATTTTTTTTTTATTAAAAATTTTTTTTCAATCAGACTACGTATAACGATAAAGATTAACGATTATCTGCAAAGAACTAAACAGGAAATGATTAACATAGCTCTCTTTCATCTATTGCCATAAAAAGTTTATTGAATAAAAAAAGATTTTCCAGAAACAATTTAACGTTAGCGTTAGTGAGTAAACAGTTTACGGAGTAAATACTATCATTACCTTGATTAAGTCATTCATCAAAGAACTTGTGTAACTGCAAGTTTGGGTTTACAAAGAAAACCAAAAATTTTATGTAACACTAATAATGACGTTATTTTTTTTTTTTTTTTTTTTTTTTTAAAAAAACGGCACTTCGGAGTTCTAACCTTTTTGTGAAGGATGCATATACGTTCTTTCATTCTAATTCCCATTATAGTTCTATAGTTGTAAGCCTATTTATTTACTTTAAAGTCAAATTATTTCTCGATCAGTAGCTTTATTTCTGTAATACAAAATTCTAGCATATTTAATTGTAGCTCATTAACTCTTATCTGGCTAATCTCTAAGATCGCTTATTTTAAGAAAATGAGTCATCAAAAATCTTATATATCACTGCCACGAAAATCTTCTTTGCCAAATCATTGCTATTAATTTACACATACCCCTTCAAGTGTTTATACGTAATAAAAACAAATACTAATGAAGATTCTTTAACTGCAGCCGAATTAACTGATTGATTCTAATTGGCTAAACTATACCCACGTACTTACGCCCTTACCCCAATTCTAACCCTAATTTAGGCCAGCTGATATCTGAGTCGGGTGGATCTCATTTCTTCGACATCCATTTTACCACAGCCATATAACTGACATCACATAGAGTTAGGGTTAGAATTCTACGTATAATTTACTGATTTATATTAATACATAGAGACCTCTCTAAATGCACACAATAGGGACCGAATTTCTAAAAACATGCATTTATAGGAGTCAAGTATATACTTGGGCCTGAAGTTGAGAGTGCATTTAGAGAGATGGTACATTTAGAGAGGGTCATTTAGAGAGATCTCTCTGTAGTAAATTGTCGCCCGTGTGATTTCGGTTGAATGTCTTTTAGGTTTAATGGCTGTCGGCAAAATGTGGTGAATCCATCTGAGTCAAGAACGCATCTGATAAAATAACATATTTATATATATTATATGCCGTGCATCATGCTAACACTTGCACAACTCTACAACTTTAATGAAGAGTTTGGGTGAGGTTAACTTAGTAAAAACTAAATAAAAGCTTTGGATTTATTATCTAAAAATTTGACTACTCCAAATTGATTTTCTGTTTAATATAATATGAAATAGCTCGTAAGAAGTGGAGAAAGGTATTAAAAAAAACTAATTAATAAAAATATAATAACTCTATTGGCTGTAAAAATATAATACGTAATATAGCAAGCAATATTCCAATGTGACTGGTTAATATAATGTGATTTTTTAAAAATTGGAAAGTTTGGATTATAACTTCAACAGTAATCTGAACTATAATTTTAACAGTTATTGGTTTATAACTTTAACATTGATTTAGATCGTAACTCTAATAGTGGTTTGGTTCATGACTCCAATAGTAATCTAGATTATGAACTCAACAATAGTTTGGTTCATGACTCCAATAGTAATCTAGATTATGAACTCAACAATAGTTTGGTTTATAACTTTAATAGTGTTTAGTTTATAAGTAATTTAGTTTATGATTTTAACAATAATTTTTTTTTCTAATATCAATAATAGTTAGATTTGTGATTTTAACAATAGTTGGGTTTGTAACTTAAAAATTATTTAGTTTATAATTTTAGTATTAGTTAGTTTATAATTATATAATATAGTACGGCGGTCATTGATCATAAATTATACTGTTTATGTTTTTTTTAAACTTCTATAATTCATATGGAGCAAAATGATATAAGTATGGATGACGTAAACCATACAAAATAACAAGCATGAATGACATAATAAAAAGAAA